CCCTGATTGTGAGAGAGTGCAGGCCAGGCTGAGGGACCCATCCCCACCGTTCATAAATTTTGTGCACTGGGCCTCTAGTCTGTTCATCTGCTTGTTGGTACAAGATGATTTTAAGTACCAATATTTCTTATTCTGAGATAAAAAATTCTCTTTTATACGTTAATACTGACATAAATTCTAGTACTCATTGGTAAGGCTCAATGCTATGAAGCACTACTCAAAGTTCCAAATATTGAAATATCAGTATTTTCTTGTAGCTTTCCAATTAGTCAAGAGTATGACTTAAAAAGAACTCTAATATTGGTTAATCTTGCATTCTTTCTTTTAACTCTTCGGTTAACTTTTCTTATCTCAAAAATCCTCTCAAACAACAGTAAGTTTCTATTTTTCAAAGGTTTCATTGCAACACACCAGAAAAAGGCATATCTCCCCTGTCTCATGAAATGGAAACAAGACATAAACATGTTGTCTGAAAGAGAAAAATTATGTTATCCAGAGCCCCAGTAATCGATTTCTCTTTCCAAAGTCTCTGTAGTTTCTGTAATGTTGAACTTAAGTTTATTTATTCAACAGTATTTATGCAAGACTGACTCTGCATTAGTTACTGATCACCCAAAGATAAAATGTATAGTTTCTGCCCTAAAAGATCTTACAATCTAGTGAAAAGCAGATAAAACTCAGCATGTTTAACACAGAACAGCACATGTTGCCGTTGAGAGCAATTTGCCCAAGGCCTTGTGGGAGGATGAAGTGAAATAATGAGGAAGAGCCCAGAATTTAGCATGTGAGGGTCTGTGAGACGTGGGGTGGGAAAATGAGGCAGAAAGAATGGTGGCTGCAAGTGTTTTAAGATATCAGAGACATCACTGAAGTTTTCCTACAGATATTTTTGACATCTCAGTTTTTCCTGTCCTTTCATTTTATTTTATTTTATTTTTAAAAATATATCTTTTATTGATTTCTTTTTTACAGAGAGGAAGGGAGAGAGAGAGGTAGAAACATCAATGAGAGAAAAACATCAATCACCTGCCTCCTGCACACCCCCAATGGGGATGTGCCCACAACCAAGGCACATGCCCTTGATCGGAATGGAAGCTGGGACCCTTCAGACTGCAGGCTGATGCTCTATCCACTGAGCCAAATTGGTTAGGGCATCCTGTCCTTTCATTTTAACGATAATTTTTATCCATTTATGTATACATATTTTAATAAGTTGCTTGAATGGATAGATGTAAGAATTATAAATACCTTACTGTGTTATACCTTGAATTTAACACAGGTATAAAGAAATGTTGATGCTTAAACGGTCAGATTTGGCAACCATAATCTTACCCTCATTTTCTATATAATTTATTTTGCATTAAATTGGTACTTCATTTTTACATTGAAGGACACTGTATAGTTTATAAAATAGATTCATATCATGTTAAAAGTTTTAAACTGATGTTGTATTCATTTTTACCTCACTGCTACGACACCGATTTCCTTGGGATCTTAAATTCTCATATTTGTGTAACTCAGAAACATTAAATAAAAGTGTTGACCTAGAAAGGGAGAAATCTCTCTGATGTCTGAGCTCATGGCTTGATTGTTTTTAAATTAACAAGGAAAGTGAAGGTACTCCTTGGGTTATGAAAGCTCCCAGGTGAAATGTGTTTTTCAGGTTCTGGGGTTTTGAATGAGATTAATAACAAATAATTTCAGACTTTACATTGTCTCATAAGGTCATTGAGCATTACTAATAGTTCTCTCTTTTTGCATCTGAGCACCCTGAGACGCACAGAACTCAAGTAATCTGACCAAGGAAATACAAATTAGTGTAATAAAATACAATACAACCAGACACTCAAAGGAGTCCTCCGCTTAGCTTACATGGAGTAATTACAGAAAAACAAATAGAAGTATTGTGCCTCTTTTGGGTGACTTACTGAAAGCTGACGATTTAAAAAAAATACATCTATTAAGCACTAACATGACTTTACTACCATCTCTATAGTTTGATTGTCACTATACTAAGTAAATTAAATAGAAGCTGCCAATCAAGTGGAAATTAGAATTGAAGGGCTTAAATGAATTGAAATCTAGGCAGAGAGATAGAAGGAAATATACACAGAGACAAAAATTGGGAACAACAACAAAATTAAAACCCCACAAAAATAAGACAAGTTCCCTTTTGAATGGTGCTTTTTGAGTGCCACTTCTCTCTCTTCAGACATCTGTTTATGAAGGCAGCTACATCCTGGTCCCCGGCTTTCCTGGTCATTGGTTTGTGTTAGTCCTTCTGTTAGCAGGGAGATGGGAGAGAAGCCAGTTATTTGGGTCCTTCAGTTTTGCTCTTCCCATTTCTGTTAGACAGCACATCACTGGAGCTGTCTGTGCAAGCATCATGCCTCTTTATGCTCTCCTTTTAAAACATTTCTATTGAAAGGCTTTTCATATATTAAATATTCCTCCTTGGCTGGTATCACAAATGTTTGAATTCCCAGAGGCAGCTTGATCTTCCCAAATCATGCATTGCATTATGAAAATCTGGGTTCGACAACCACTTTAATTGAATTCCCTTTAAATGGCTGAGGACTTGTTTTAATTAATAAAAGGAGCTAAGTCGTAGTGAGTTATGGATATGTGCCAGTGGCGATGTAACTCATGTACGTTCTGTCATTTAATCTTAGCAGTACCTGTAGGAAGTAGATGCCGTGATTAATCCCACAGTCTCACAATGTAATAACAACAGACACAGAGCCAACGTTTTGCCTCTGGGACTTTCTGCCTCTCGAGCCTGTTACCTCTGTGCTTTGTATTTCTCCCCCGGAGCTCAGAGCATGATGATTTCCACGGAGTAAAATTCTCAACAAAAGTTGAATTAAATGGCACTGCATTCATGTACTGGCAGCCTGTTTTCAATGCTCAGTTGGAGTTAGAAATGAAGAAATAACCATTTTCACAGTAAAAGAAAAAATGTAATCCTAAAATATTAATTCGATTATTATTTTTTGCCCTGAAGGATATAATCTGATAATTCATCTTATGTATCTTATATGCTGCACAAACATTTTGAACTTTCTTAAATTATTAACCTTGACCTTTGTGATATTCAGAAAACATTAAAATGTGAAAATACAATATATATGTTCAATAACTCTACATGATACAGTGAAGTGAGTGAAATATGATGAGTTGCTTTTATTTGGAAAAGCATAATATTATTGTTTTGACTCAAGGGCGTTAACATTTTCAGTGTTAGCATTAATTTGTTTTCTTTTGATCATTCAATTATTATATTCTTTTTTTTTTTTAGCGAAATGGAAAAACGTCCCAATTGCCAAAGCTAATGATGTGTTCATAGTGCCTTTAAGTATATATCTCATTAGGTTTGTGTTAGTCTGCTGGTAAAAGTTTATGAAGTCGGAAGTTTGCTTATATATTTTAAAGATACATTTATCATTTCCTCAGGTGATTTGTGCCGATATCTGTCCTTCATTACCAAAGCAACAAAAGTTTTTCCTTTTACAGTTGTAAGCAGTTCAATAGATGTTGTCTGTTTTTCCAAAACATGAATAGAATACCTGCTTCATTGTTTATACAAAAATATTTTAAAATTGAAATTATTTTTTTCAATTACAATTGGCATTCAATATTAATTAATATTTGTTTCAGATGTAAAAAATATTTTTAGTCTTTGAAAAGAGTATGTCTATCCAAAGTCTATGAATTAATAAGATTTGTGTTTGTTTGTTTGTTTGTTTTTGACTTGTACTCTGGTGCTAAGTATCCTCTTGAAGTAATTTTGCTGTTGCAATTGCATTCATAGTTAAAAGCAAGTAAAAATTGCCATTTGTGATGTCAATTGTAGTATTTCTAAGAAGGCATAGACCTGAGCATCATTTCCTTTTGCAATACTGTTCTATCCTCTCCATCCCAGTGGAGCCTCATTTTATAACCAGAGGCCCGATGCATGAAATTTGTGCAAGGGTCTCAGTCCCCGCAGCCCCAGCTTCATCTGGAAGGTCACCTGGACAGTCATTCTGCTATTTGGTCTAATTAATATATTACCTCTTTATTATATAGAATGGTTGGAGAACTCTGAGATTCTGTTAGATTCTTTAATAGTGGGATAGACCTCCCACAGCAAAATGCTGTGAAGAAGCAACTTTGACATACTTGTTTTTGTTCTGACAGATGGGGGAAAGCGATAATAAGATGCTTAGATTTGAATTTCATACTTTCCAGTAGCTTTCAAATACATTTTCTCCTAATATGGTTTCACAGCACTCTGCTGGTAGGTGCTGACCCATTTTAAAGAAGACACAAAAATTTGGAGAATTGAGTTGCAAATCTGAGGTCATCTGGCTGGCAGAGTAAGAAATTAAACTTGGGCATTCTGATCACCAGCCTGTTACAGTTTCCTCTCGCTCTCCATGGAGAGATGCCACAAAAAGAGCAAACAATGGAGTAAGCATCTCCAAAGCAATTGAAATCACAAGGTGTCGTGACACCCCACGTTCATTTAAAAGGCTTCTGTTTTTAAAATATGTGTAATTTATAGATATTTTATAATATGTATGATATAGGCAGGTGGCAAAGTAGGTTTACATTTGTATGTAAAACAGTTTATTTTTGTATTAATATTTATTTAATGATTGTATTATTTATTATTACTCTTAACCTACTTTTGCCTATTCCTGTATTCATTATATAATATATAATACCTGCAGAATATTATATACTCTTCCTACATATACTATACCTTATGTGTATTGTATATACCACATTATATATATATATATATATATGTGTGTGTGTGTGTGTGTGTGTGTGTGTGTGTGTGTGTATATATATATATACATATATATATCTTAGGTTATCAAACTTTCCTAATTAGGAGTTTTTAAGTGTGACAAAGAGAGTGAATCGAAAGGAATCTTTCAAATTGGTCCCCTTGGAAATGACAGACAAACCGGGATGTTGTTTGAACATAGGAGCTGTTTACTTTGTTGCAGCTGCAGACCTTCTTTGAGACATTCCTGAGGGCCAGTTCGCCTCTCCAGGCTTTGGACAACATGAAGGAAGCCATCAGCAAACTCCTGCTGGCTGCCGAAGCTTTCAGCGAAACGTCTCCTCTGGGACCGAAGGCCTTCCACAGGTGAGCGCAAAGCCCGATGTTAAAAAGAGAAAAACCCGGCCCGTTAGAAATGGATTGTTAGTGAAAATATATCTTCATTATCACATGTAGGTGCTTCTTGAAAAATGTTCTGTTATCTTGTTAACAGATCCTAAACCATCAGAGTGCATTGCAGACTAGTCCGGGTCTAAACAGTGGGTGACAAGAAGTAGAGCAACGTTACTTAAACTGATGTTTTAAAATGCAGCCCCTTCCAAGCTTAGCTATTTCTATCATATACTTATCACTGACTAGCTATATATTTTTACAGGCTTTTATGATCAAAGTTTAATAGCGCCTCTGTCCATATCTCAGTGAACTTGAGTATCATCTAATGCCCCTTTCCTAGGGAAATGTTAAAGCCAGTGTGCCAGAAGAGGGGATGAATCCTTTAACATTACCGTGCTTTGTATGCGAATGAGACTATTTGGGTTTTCACAGCCCGACTTCATTGTTGCATTATGAATACTTCAGATATATTTGTATTTTCTGTAAGAAACAAAACAGATTCCAAATACAAAATGAAATTGCACGCAATTTTAGATGATCCGAAAACTGCTCTTTTTAATTATTACAGACCTTGAAATGTAACTAGAGTAACTGTTCAGAATGTTATTCCAAATAATAGGTGAGATGCAGCAGATAGAATATAATTTGTTCCCTGTGGTTTCATTTCAGATGCAGTTTATGTTTTCAACTTTTAACCTTTGACATCAGTTATGGCAGTTTCACTTCCCCTGTGGTGCTCCAGGTGAGTGTGTCGGAGGGCTGTGTGAGCTCCCACTTTATGCTGAACAGGGTGTGTGTGTGTGTGTGTGTGTGTGTGTGTGTGTGTGATTTTAATTCACAGTAAGGAGTCAATAAATAGCAACTTTATTAAAGTCACTATTTACGTTTATGATGGCTCAGAGAATTAACCAGTATGTGGAGAGCCTGTGATTTGAGTTCCAACTCCAGCTATGCATTCCTACAGAACAAGCATGGATTTTTCTATGGTTCAAAAACTGCTTATGAAAGAAACAGGGTATAAAACTAAGTAGGTGGAATGCAGAAAAGCAGACATTTAGACCATAGAAACTAGAAGATTACCAAACTTTTTCATATGAGTTTGTAAGAAAAAGGTAACTCGTTCTTTACATAGTTAATTTAAAATTGGCCTGCATTTGAATTTAAAAGATCACAGAAATGTTTGAATATATGCTATTTCTAATATAAATATATATTAGAAGAGTTTTTATATACTCTGATTCTTTTAATTCCTCTCAAATCAAATGAACTCATTCAGATAATTTCCTCCAATATATTTTAAATCTAAAATAGCCATTAGTGGAAAGAGAATTGATTGAATTCATCTATAGAAAGCTTTATTTTGGGATGTGGCATGGGAAAGCGGGAAGAGGAACAAAACAAAATTATGTGCAACCAGAATTCAATTTTATATTGCATTGATTGATTTTCAAACTTTTATGTTAGGAGAATAATTACATTATACGTGACATTTGGTTGAATAGTTCAAAGATTTATCCATAAAATCACAAAGCTTTATGAATTTATGTATTATAAAGGTCATTCAATATTTTACACAGATCTAATAGTTTGTTATGCTCTTTAAAATGTATTGTTCAGAAATGTTATTATATGTTATCTTCCATGCACACAAGTTCTTCAACAATGTTTTCAAGCTAAGCTAATGTGACTTTATAATCCATTAGTTCATTTCCTTACAAAGAATTGTATCTTGGAAAGAATATTACATTTTATGAAACTGTTGACCTCCAAAAAGACCACTAGATGTCAGTTCTGATCTACAATCCAACAGGAAATGAATCATGTCTGAGAAGTGACACTGCAGGAAAAGTAAGTCAATGAAATACATTTTCTGAGCTTCTCCTTCCTCACAGGTGCATGGCCATTTACATTTTCAAGATGACAATTATATGGATTTTGAGGACCAAAACGCAGAAGAATTTATTTTAAAAGACACTTTCAATTTCCTCTTCTCGAATGAATCTTCACTTTCCATATTCTCTGAGATATTTCAGAGACTCTACAGATCAGCTGTATCCAAGGTAAGTGTATAATTTTTGTACCGACAAGTGTTTTTTTCCAAGTCGTTCTTTACAAGATGCTATTTTCTTTATGGTGTAATTAAGCAACTTGATGATTCATTTGTATCAGTTACATTACCCGTCTTAGTATTTTTCTCATCTGAGGACCAGTATTGTTTTTGTGTCAGCTAAGTATGTGACTGATTACGATAACGTTATGAGTTGAAATGAAGAAAAGTAGTTCCTAATTCAGAAGGAACACTTGCAGATATTATGAATAATGCATATTATATGTTACAGAATACTTTAAAAGGAATACCATAGCTTTCTGGAGTCAGTCTAGAATAGCAGTTCCAGATTGACATCAAGGGTCTTGAGTTATACTAATTTTTTGAAGCATTCATACCTCATTAACAGACTACATAGTGATGATTAGGATATAGTATTCATAATGCATTGATTAGTTTTTATGGTGTTAATAGAAGTGTTCTTGGGGCCTCCGAAATATCTGTACATGTTACTAAGAATGTTATCATTCTCTATATGTTGCTGCTGCATTCTCTGGATGCTAAAGGGGAGTCTTCCTGTGTTCCCACAATGCCCCTTACTCTGCCTCCTGGGCTCCTCTCCCCAGCCTTACTAACAGAGCACTCTTGAGTGATTTCATTCATATTTTCTATGTCAAATATGAAGTTATCTTCTATGCAGACACCATTGTCATGGTTGAAGTTATTATGTATTAATTAGCATTCATTAATTAGCCCAGCTGTTTATTTACAGAGTAAAAAATTTCATTGATTTGTCAAGAGGGCTGCAACTGGGCCATAGCAAATGTTTAAGGGTTATTTTCCCCCTCCTGTTGTAGGGTGAAAACTACAAAAAGGAACTGACTCGATGCCTATCTTTAGAAGAGATTAATTCAATGATGACTTTCATAAAGGAACTTGGGAGCTTGGGGCAGTTCCAACTGGTAAAACTAAAGTGCCATTTGATTTATCTTGATTACTGAGGTTATATAAATCAGCCAGGAACTGCTTGCTTTTGATTTTAACTTAGGTGAATATATTTCTGTAAGGAGCAGACATCTTTGTAAACTCCTTTCTTCTGTTCAGAGATATATAAAGATGAGAAGAGTCCATATTCTTGAAGAGTTTATAAATAATATGTCTTATTAAAGCTAAAAGAATATGAGGTTGTTAAAGCTGCCAGGATTTGACCATTACTAAGGGGGAAATATACAAATTTTTCTACATAAGTTTTGCTTTTAGTTTTGGGATATTATCATGTGATAAATTTTTTTTCTGCTTCTGCCCTTTTTGTTGTATAAAATCAAATATTATTGAATATGTTAATATTTAAGAGTACTGACTAGTTTGTTATAACTCACACCAAAATAAAGAAAATGTAAAGTAAGAAAGGAAATGTAAGTAACTAGAATAACTGTTACTGGTTTCAGCCTAAAAATATTATTTTGTATTTTTTTTGTTCTATTAATTTATTGACCACAGAATAATTTATACATATATGTGCATTTTCAGTATTTGCTTTGTTTCTAGTTCTGCCACTTACATAGATAGATTATAATAAATTCGTATTTTTCTGCCAAGATGCTTATATAAAACATTTTAACACAGCACTTTTAAAAATCCATTAATGATATATTATTAATGTGTTTGAATCAAATATTTACTTGTTGCTACAAGAAATCATGTATTCATATGCTACTTGTGTGAGTTATAACCAATTGACTATTTGCTTTTTATAAGTTAGCCCCATATGTTGGAGGGTTCAAAGTAAGCTTATTGCCCCAAAGATAATTAAATGCATGGATTATCATTTTAATTATTTGAAACATAGTATTATACTCATAGCAGTTTGGCTTCATAATATACCAAGATAATCAAAAAGACCTGGCCTCATTCTTCAGGAATTCATCACTTAAGATATTGTGAATGTCAAGAACATCTCTTGGCAGTCTGTGAGGAAAGAACTAAAGAATTTCTTCACAGGAGAAAGGGCATGCAGCAATTTACATACTGTGAGAGCTGAAAGAGAATGCAGATAGTTTTTGGTAGGATTAATATATCTCACTTTGATATATAATTCACTTCTTACACAAGAGGATTCCTACCCATTCTTCCTGCTGCCTGACCCGTCCTATTACTGGGCTGTTTTCAGGTATCTGTAGGAAGGAGAAATCTATTTACATTCAATGAAAAGAGAATTAAAAACTCAACCCATTTGGAAATATGATCATCAAAAAAAATGAGTGCCATATTAAAAGTGGCATTTACCTTGATAACTACACAGAAAATTACATTATGGTACTGAAAATGGATTTTTAATAAATACTGATTTTTAAATATCTGAATATAAACTATTTCCTTAGTAATGCTACCTTTATATTTATTGTATACCACTTATTCTGATATTCTGTCTTTGAATATTCCTTCTCAGCTCTTTCCATCAACTTCTCCCAGTATTCAGTCTTGGATGCGTGAGTTTTATGTCATTGCAAATCCTATCGGAAAAGCTCGTTCCGTCCTGACCCAACACTCCTCTCTTTTAAATGTTTTCGAGCAATTTCAGCTCCTGGATAAAAAGGCACAATCACATCCATTGGAATGGTAAGAGAGCCACAAACTTGAACTGTGCAAGTCAAAAAAAATCTCTAGTCTAAAGATTGATTTCAAAGGCTTTGCCTAAATTAAAGCAAGCAACAAAAAACAAGTGTGTCCAAAAATTCATGCTCTGGAAAATAAGTTTCTTGAAATTATTGAAACCATAATGATTCCAGTGGTCTTCAAACACTGTAATAAAAATATATCCAACAGGGTTTCAAACCAACTGAACTTGACTCCACTAAAAAGTAATGCTTAAAGTTAAAAGTTTCAATCTAATTTCATTTCATAATATATGTCCTTGAGTTATGGGAACAGCAGGCAGAAAGAATTAGGTGAGATTTGTTTTATGAACTCTCAGGCAGAATTAGCCCAAGACGGTGTACGCATTTACTTAGATGGTTTTTGAGGCCTGACTTTTTTTCTGGGAAAAACTTACCCAAATTTATAAAAACGTCCCATTCTGCCATAATTTTTTTCTTTTTTTAGAAGGTAGAACCTTAGAGGGAAACATTTGGCTGGAAGAAAGCTTTCCTGGCCCCCATCTTCACTTCCACTCTAATGAAGGAGTGAGAGGGAAGATGGGCCTGGTGAGCACATTAACCCCTCCTGGCGCTGGGGAATAGGGCAGTGCCCAAGGCCTTAGCTAGGTAGAATGGTGGAATGAAGGAAGATTTGGCTTTTCTGTGGCTAGGAAGACAGACGTAAGCCTGTGGAGAGGTGAAAAACGAAGGCCATAGTAGTCATTGGTCTCTTGCCGCTGCCCTCAGGAAGGACACCTGATGACTTGGACTGCATCTCCTTCTGCCTCGGGAGCAAGAGAACGCAATTCTATAAGAAGCTTGTTGTTTTGTCTGTAATTCAGTAAATACAAATCATTACATATTTGAAGAATTCTCTCTCAGGATAAGAAATCACTTTAGTTGTCACAGCTTTATGAAGTGGGCCTTATTCCCCCATCCTTGGAAGTAGTAGGCCTGCCCAAAGGGTTTGCTTGTTTGAGAGTTAGGTTTTAAACAGCATAGCTCAGTGCTCCGTTGCTTGTCCCTTGCACTCACTGAAATCATCCAAAAGGTCTCCTATGTCATTGCTGATGGGGGAAGGGCAGACTTGATTGGTCAGGAAGCCTATTTAATTACTGTTTGTTAAGTTCCCTTGAGTTACACAAGCTTTGGAAAGGTTGTTTCCCAATAAATGGGTTTTTTTGTTGTTTGTTTGTTTGTTTTTCGTTCATGTTTCACATATGTTGTAAAGTTAACCAATGAAGTTACCTTAAATTCAGAATATTGAATTTACCCTGAGCCCTAACCCTAACCCTAGCCCTAATCCTAACTGGTTCCCTTTCAACAAGCAAAGTTTCTAATCATTGCTGTTGAGTGCAGTTAGCAAAGGTCAGAACTTTTGGAATCAGACAGACTCAAAAATTCCAACTTTGGAGTATATCCATTTCAGCAGGTAAGTTTTGACCCCTCTGAGACTCTCTCCTCGTCTGTAAAATATGGATTGGACTACCTACCGGGCATTGTTTCAGAGGATTGCATAAGAGAACTTGCATGTACCAGTGTGTAGTGTGTTGTGTTGCAGGCGGGTGTAAATAGCAGTGTGCTTTCCTTTTCATGTTTCTATACCAGTGGTCAGCAAACCATGGCTTGCCGTTATGTTGACTAATGAGTTTGCCGACCACTGTTCTATACCATCCAAAGTTCACTTTATCATCAATAGTGGGGGAGATATTTTGTTTTTGTTTTTATAGGAAAAGAAAGATAAAATGGACAGATTTATCTAAATTAACATTGAGGCAAGTAACCTTCAGATCTCCATTAAGAAGCAATTAGTAAATTGCTCTTAGAATAATTTGAGAAAGCATACTCAGTTCTAAATACCTTGCAATTTACCTGTGAGCATATGTTTCTTCAATTGTGATCCATGCTGCAGTACGAGGAGCATGCACATGGTACACAATTGTGAGATGAGGAAACTAACTGAGCATGTGGGCGGTTTACTCAAGCCGCACAGCTAACAGAAACAGGTGACCTCCACAAGCATGGTAAGGTGCCTTGTCCCAGCACCTAAGGCAGGCGGACAGGGCGGTGATGTGAGGAGCAGGCATTCATCACTGTCCTTATCTTCACAATGGTCACCTCCAGATTTTTTTCCTACAGAAAAAGCCAATTTAACATCTTTTTACTACTACCTGTGGGGGTTATTGAGGTCATCCTTTATTTTATGTTCTTTTTATTGAATTTTTTTGGCTGACATTGGTTTACAAAACCATACAAGTTTCAAGTGTACAACTCACGCTGCACGCTGCATCTTCTGTCTGCCCATCAAAGCAAAGACCTTTCCCCCCATTTGCCCACCTCCACCTGGCCCCCACCCCCTTTCCCTCTGGCAATGGTCACACTGTTGTCTGTGTCTGTGTGTTATGTACATATGTTTTGGGGCTAATCCCTTCAACCTTTTTCATCTAGTCCTCCCTCCCCGTCCCTCTGACAGCTGTCAGTCTGTTCCACCTATCCGTGCCTCTGTTTCTGTTTTACTTGAAATAAAGATCAACTGCCTATAGCAACAAGGTGAAAAGAGATAAAGTCAGAAAAGCAACAGTTCAGAAAAGTGACAGGTATTCCTGTGTCCTGAGGCTCAGAATACAGAGGTCCCAACAGAATTAGTATAAATCGGACAGAATGTGCACTCTCTGCTAATGCTGACTTCACTTGAAACAGAGTTGCAAGTGTACATTGCTCTATTCACAGGCTTGTCATGAAAACTCTCATTTTGAAAACATTATTTATTCACAAAATTAAATGAGAAGTCACTGCAGGTTGCCTTAAAACATCTCACTCCACGAAGAGCGTAACCTCTCCAAAATCCAGTTTGCATCTAGGTCAGAGTTCCATCTATTATGAGCTTCATTTTGAGTTTTTGCTTCAGATGAGCTCAGAGATTTTCAATTAAACATATCTCACCCCATGCTTGCTTTATCTGTTTCTTCATTCTTTGGAAGAAGGGAAATACAGTTGACCTTTGAACAACATTGTTTGGAATTGCACAGGCCCACATATTGTAGATTTCCCCCCGCCAATAAATACACTCAGCTGTCAGTATCCTTGGTTTTTGCATCTATAGATTCAACCAACCGTGGATCAAAAACAATATTTTCAGACCCCCAACCATGGATTTCTAACTGCAGTTTCCCAACTGCAGATCGAAAATGTTACTTTTCATTGTGGTTGGTTGACTCCTTGGATGCAAAAGGCCAACGGTAGTTAAGTTTTGGGTGAGTCAGAAGTTGTACGTGGATTTTCAATTGCACATAGGGATGAGCTCCTAACTTCTACATGGTTCCAAGGTCAACTGTATTTTAAAATTAGTTGCAGACATTGTTTTTTTACCCCTAATTACTTCATTACACACACACACACACACACACAAAATAAATAAATAAATAAATATTAATAAATAAAGTGCAATAAAAGCATTACACAGTAGGAATATTTTTAATTCCTAGATTCTTCTTAATTTCCTTATGTGATGTTTATATTTTGAAGGAATTGAGTGTGGCTTATTCATCTCTTTCACAGATATTAATCAGCACATATCTGGGATGATAAATATGTATAAGATGTAATTATGCACAGAGCATTTGATTTAATTCTAATAGCATCCCTGTGATGTCGGGCCAGTATTGTTATCTCTATTTCGTTGGAGTAGAAATGGGGATTCACAACAAAGCACAGGAAAGTCGAGTCACATCATGCCAGGTACTCTTTATTTCATGGCCAGCAATTTTTCTGTCTGCAATTTAGATTATTTCGTTCCAAAATTGGAAGATTTAAGGGGAAATCTGGCCAAGCATTTACTTATTCAACAGAAAAATGAGGCAAACACACCACGATCTAACTAATCATTATCACTCACTCCTATTAACCAGAGATTAAGGATGGAAGCCTTGGCAAGCCTCTTTGCATGGCACCCTTACATTGCTTAGATTATATGTATGTTTGTCAGGCTTTTTGCTTCAAGACGGTAACTTCAGCCAAACGGATTCCAGGAAGAATGTGTGTTCCCGAATCTCTTCTGTTGGACCCCAGCTATCAGAGATTGCTTGCTTTTGGCCTGAAGAGTGACTTTTCCCCTGGTTTTCTTCAAATGCGCTTCTGCTGATTAGAGATGATGAGATTTCCACCCACCTCGTTCGAGACAAGATTGCCAGTTCAATGAAATCCAGAAAGTGTTTCTTTGTGTTCAGCAAAAGCACTGTGCCTGCACATTAAAAAAAAAAAATGTGTGTGTTTGATGTAATTCCTGTGATTTTGTTCATTTCATTGATAGAGCTGTTTGGCCTTGCACTTGCAGGCATTCCTTCACAAAGGATGAGAACATTGAAAAACCACAAATGCCACTTGGTGCAACTGAACATAAAAAAGGTAAAAGGATAATCTCACCCTTAATTGAACATGAAAATTGGCATTGCGTGGGCAAAACACACATAAAAATTGTTTAGCTTCAGTAGCAATCTAAAATGAAAATTAATCAAGGAAATGCTGTTTCCTCATATCTGGAGGTATTTCCTTCTTAAAAATAATAGAGTTGGGGAGAGTGAGGAGAAATAAATATTCTCATGCTACTGGTAGATGTATGAGTCAGAACCTTTATAAAAGGCAATCTAACAACATATAAGAAAAGCTTTGAAGTTATTCTTTTTTATAGTATATGTTAACTTTATTTTTTAATTGGTTTCAGAGAGAGGAAGGGAGAGAGAAAGAGAGATAGAAACATCAATGAGAGAGAAACATCCATCAGCTGCCTCCTACATGCTCCCCACCGGAGATCAAACCCACAACTTGGCCTGTACCCTGAATAGGAATCAAACTGTGACTTCCTGGTTCCTGTGTCAACACTCAACTACTGAGCTACACCAGACGGGCAAGTTATTCTTTAGACCAGAAATTTCACTTCTGGATATTCATTTTAAAGAAATCATTTAAAATGTATACAAAATTAATTACAAAAATTATTAATAAGTAAAAAAAACCCACACACATCACTATTGCAATTTTAGTGAATCCAATAAAGAAAAAAAAAAAAAAGCTGTAAGCATCCAATAAAATACTATAAATACAGTGTTTCCCAAAGTGTGGTATGCGTGCCCCCAGGGGTACGGGAAGCGTTTGGTGGGGATATGCACTGCACCGTGCTTAGCTGCGCTTAATTCTACGTTCTCATGAGTACCAGGGGTACTCAGTGTTACGAAAATTATAGAAGGGGTACACATATGTCAAAAGTTTGGGAAACACTGCATAATATTGTGGGAGGATATTTATGACCTTCCATATATTTTTGATATATTGTTAAGTGGGGGAAAAAAAAAGGCAGCATGAGTCTCAAGGAAAATTAATGGTGATTTTTTAATTTCATCTCTTGTATTTTAGTTATAAATTCTAATTTTTTTCTTTCTTTGATTCTATTTGATTTTCTAATTTTTTCTTTCTAAGAAATACTAACTCTTGGTTGCAAGAAAAGAAAAAAATTGTTATTTTAAAAATAAAAAGAATATATCTATATTTTTTAAAATCAAAGTTTTCTTACTACAAATCAAGGTTTAATCCAATACAATGGTTCCGAATGTGTGGTCCCCAGACTGGCACCATCAGCATCACTGGAGAAACTTGAAAAATTCAGATCTAATGAATCAGAATCTCTGGGTATGAAACCCAGCATTCTGTGTTTAGCAAGCCTTTCCCATGATTCTAGCACACCAAAGTTTGAAAATCACTGCTTCAGTAGAATGAATGAGTAGGCCCAGTGAAGAACTGATGGTGAGCTGAAATTCACCATCAGTTTGTGCTCTTTAAAATGAATGGCTTAAGCACTCAGTGTTCTTATTCACTCATCTGTACCATAAATATTTATTTTAAAGTATTTTAATTCAGAAACTAAGAGAAAGTATCAATTGACCCAACTAGGATGGAATTGCTGTAATTTTAATAATTTGGGAAATATAGCCACAGGATTATTGAACTGGAAGGAATCATGAGAGATCACCATGAGGCAATGAATGGCATTTAGACAGTTCATATTGCCCCCTTAACATTTCCCTATTTGAAATAATCATCCTTGTGAGATTTGAACCAAATAACTTGTTTTGTTTTACTATAGTTTTCACTTTAATTTACAAGTGCTTTCTGATGTGATAAAGTTAAATAATAAATATGGTTTATTTGATTGAGCTGTATTTGAGATTCCTGAATATGTATTTTTAAATTCTGATTACGTTTTAAATGTATACTTTCTAGTTGTGGTTCAACAAATTATGAATGCAACCATAGAAGTGCACTGCAGCAATGGTGAGTACCTGTGGGCGGTTTCCGCAACCCTAACAGGCACAGCTCTGCTTTGAATAAATCATCACTTCATTTTGTTTTTTGTTTTTTAAATTTCTAATTTATCTTTATTGTTGAAAGTCATACAGGTATACCCTTTACCCCATTGATCCATTCCAGCCTACCTCCCCTCCCTGGGCCTTACCACGTTATCTGTGTCTGTGGGTTATGCATATAAAGTCTTTGGTTAATCTCTTCCCACCCATCCACCCCCACTTTCCCTCACATTCGACAGTCTGCTCCATGTTTCTATGTCTCGAAATTTATTTTTATCAGTTTAGTTTGTTTTTTAGATTCCACATGTGCCTGAGATCATGTGGTACTTATCTAGCAAAATATTTGTGTATCTTTAGGCTATTAATTTAAGTAGAATTTCAGAAGATATGAGATTTCTGAATGAGTCAATATCTATCACTTTTGCATAAAAATATTTTATGTTTATTTGTTTAAGATCAGTATATTCCAAACTCATTTTGAAGGGCCCTGTGGGTGCAGCTTTTCCTTGGGGGCTGCTCAAGTGGACAAGCTTAGCTCCTCTGCTTTCTATGGACATTGATTTTTAGGACTCTCCATACAGGATTGAGAGTCGGCTGTGTGTTGGGCTCTAGGCTGATGAAGTATTAGGAAAGCCCTGTACCTCTCTGGTCTTCTACTTTCTCATTTATAAAATGAAGCGACTATTCAAGATTCTCTCTCTCTCTCTCTCTCTCTCTCTCTCTCTCTCTCTCTCTCTCTCTCTCTCTCCTCTCTCTCTGTCTCTCTCTCTCTCTTTCAGTTCCCAGGTAACATGATGTAGATACTGTGAAAATGTCAGATACATTCTTCACCCTTTTCATGCCAATAAAAACAAGCCTGACCTATGTCTTCACAATTAATCTTCCTACTTTTATGGCATGAGATTTTAAAGATAACTTAATAATGCCTCAGGACAGGTGGGGTTGCATTTCAGAATCTAGGCTGTTCTCGTGTTTAATCTGAGTTATGATTATCTCTCAAGAGGGCAATAAAAGTCTGCGGTTTAGAGAGACACGTTAAAAGCAACCAACTCTTCAAGTAGCTTTTCCATATGGACTTGCCAAGTAGATTAGGCAGCCTGCTACCATCCTGGGTTCTCCGTAGGCCCCAGGTAAGCAGGCCAGACAAGCTGCTGGGGCGGAGAGGGTGCCAAGGAAGCACCACGTGTTTGTAGCAGCGACACAGGTGACTCAGTTGAATGTGACGTCAGACATAAGACAGCTTTCAAGCAGGGGTTTACAATGCAGCACATAAGCCGGAGGTGAAGTTTCCGATGAAACCCGATACAAGGACCTGTTCAAATCTTGCTTAAAAGTGGGATTATGCATTTTACGTCATGGAGGGCTGTTTCAGTGCTGCAATGGGAGAGCCTCATTGGACACTTCCACTGTTAAGTGACAGGGTCAACTACAGTGACATGAACCCTCCATGACTGATAAAAATATACACTAAATTGAAGTACACTTCCTATAATATTATTTTTTGGGGAAGAAAAACACATAAACAAACACTTTCCATTTTGTTATTTATTTTCCTGGTCCTGAGCATCGGAGGGGAGTGCAAGCATTTAAATACCCTTCGTGCCCAGGACATGGTCCTCTGGAAGTGCCTTTCCTGCCTCGGAGCCCCCTGGTGGGCAGTGCCATGTCAGGTCACCATCACCACTTCATCGGCCCTCAGGACCCACAATAGCCTGTTTGTCCTGTGCTGACCTCGGTGCCTTGAACCCAGACTATGTCCAAAAAAATGCTTTGAAGAAAAAATGCATTCTTAACAAACAGTTGAATTAGAACACAAAGGTATGGGCCTTTTCAAAATGAAATCTAATAACATAACCTTGCCCTCATTCTTTTGTGTTTTAATTTATTATAAAATATTTAGGACCTGGTGTGATCATCAGAGTTATGGTGCAATCTACCCTCATCAATCAGCCAGCTGGAATTTTTGTGCAACAAGTAAAATTAATCAGGCTGGTAGCTTACTCAATTCACTGACTTCCTCAACTGAATTGACTAGTGGTTTATGTTTTGTTTGTTTGTTTGTTTTTGTTTTTATCAAGAGTTTTTCCTACAATGAAATTACACTATAGCAGTTGCATTATTAATGGCCCTAATTTATACCTGAATAGTTTTTCCTTCCACTGGCTGAGAAAAGCATAGAGTATAGATCAGAAACGTACAGACTTTTTTCATCATCTTAATGAACAATGGGAGTTATACTGTGACCTCGTTCTTGGAACTAAAATAACATATTCCTAAGGATAGCGGTGCCCCTCACCATGGATTTAGTGGTGCCTCTCCATGTCTGTCAAAGAGATAAAAAATGTTATTGCTGAAGCACAAATCTAGGATAAAAGAGGAGATGCAACAGAGAGAAAGACAAGGAAGAGATTGTGCAATGCCTGCTTCATTTGGGGGTTGGGTTAAATTCTGGAGGTGATGAGAAAACATTAAAACACTGAAGAAAAATCATTAGATTTGCTGTTGGAAATTCATGGTGATCGCCATATTAAAACGAAGGAAGAGGCAACAGTTAATAAGATAATCATTTTTTAGGTTCAATTGTATAACTTCCTGCAGTGAATTCTATTATCTTTTGGTTACCAAATTGTTAAACATCACTGAATATTGTATTTTAAAGGCAGAGTGAAGACACTTTCATTTTACCAATTTTTATAGGAATTCTTTTTTTTTTTTTTTTTTTTTTTTTTTTTTTTTTTTTTACATTTTTCTTTACTGAAATCTTGTTGGTTGGAATGTATTTATGGAATTGAAGACTTGTCAATATTTTTTGCAAAACATTTGCTAAGCTTCTTTTGAGTAATTTGGTTACTCCAAGTATGAACACAATATAATTTAGCAGCAGCTGGTAGTTGTGCTTGTTAAGATAATTTTGTAAAAATTGGTCTACCAAATAGAAACATTTTTTAAAATGGCTTAGAATCAATGGTATGAAGTAATATGTCAATTCTCTAATAGGATTGAGCAGACTATAGCTTTTTCTTCTTACACTTCACTGTACTTTTTTAGGTTGAGGTGCCTGGGTGGGGAGGGGGGCAGGGTCCCTGTGATGTTTGGTGTAAGAGCTGAGTGTTTGGTATAAGATTGGAGTATACATTCTCTGCTCCATCCTGCTGCCTACAAGCTACTTTATCAATCCAATGGCAGTTTAATGACACTTCCTGGTAAGAAATTCTCCTCATTCCCTGCTGGTTCTCTTCTGTCACCACCCCATGGAGTCATCACCCTAGATTCACTATTGTTTAACATATGCAGTAAATGCCATGAACATGTTATCAATCCACTGGAGAGATATTTTCCCACCTCCTGTGCCTTTAAAGCTTAAGGGTCTGAACAAAATATATGATCTCTGTGACACCAAGTAAAGTCAATAGCTGTTATATGAGCCAAATTCTACAAAATTTGACAAATAAAAGTCACAAATCTACTCTGACCAATTTTCTTTTCCTTTTCATAAAAAAACAAAACAAAAAAAAACACGCACAGATGAAGACATACAATGTCATATCAAGCAGATCTTCACACAGCCACATTTGGAACTAAGTCCTGAATTTAACCCGAAGATCAAAGATTATTACTCTGAAGTCCCTTTTGATGTGGTGACTGTGACGATTGGAGTGGAGACGTCTAACTGTCAGTGCAAGGTGTACCTGCATGAACGGGCAGGGCCCAGGTATGGAGTGCTGCCAGGCTGAGTGAAGATGTCACAGTGGGAAACAGACATTTGAGGCAACCTTTGCAGGTGGTTCGAGAACGCTGAGGCATGAGATCCATTGGAGCGACTAACGGGGTGTGAAATCTCTCCACTTCTCAGGTGTCCTGTGGTTACAAAGAACACATCAGTGCTCTCCTGATCTATTATAGAATCTTGGTAACCATGCTTTAACAGGAGTGGATCTTGTGATATGGAATATCAAAGAGGACCCAGTAAGGGAGAAGTTAGTTTATCATTGTCCTCATGATTTTAGATTGCTAAGGAGTTAATCGCTCCAAACCGTGGCCTCCCACCAAGCCAGCTCCTCAAGTTTTTGAATATTCAGGGATTGATTACTTAATAAACATGTTGTGGACAGAGTCACATTAACTTTCCTCGTCTCACTGGGATTTTGTCCTCCAGACCCTTTTGAAAGAGACCAACTATTTTGTTTGTAATTTTTTAAAATATATTTTTAATTGATTAAAAAATTATTTTATTGATATTTTACAGAGAGGAAGAGAGAGGGATAGAGAGTTAGAAACATCGATGAGAGAGAATCATCGATCAGCTGCCTCCTGCACAACCCCCACCGGGGATTTGCCCGCAACCAAGGTACATGCCCTTGACCTGAATCAAACCTGGGACCTTTCAGTCCGCAGGCCGACGCTCTATCCACTGAGCCAAACCGGTTTCAGCTATTTTGTTTGTAATTTTGAACAGGAGATGAAACTTTTTAATATTTGTGTCCATAGCAATGAAGACACTTCTGTTCCCAAGCTGTAGGTAAAGAAATGCTGTTGTAGCCGTGGGAACCAAGGAAACGTGGCAGACAGAAGAGGAATGAGCCAGGCGAAGCTGGGTCCCAAACCTGATTCTCCCATGTGACTCTGGGCAATTTGTTTCCTGGTTCTATGTTATGTTCCCTGTATTTAAAATGAGGACAGTCATGGTTTTGTGTAGAGTTGCTGTGAGTCTTAAATGAGATAATGGATTACCCTGATGGGTGGTTAATAAATATTAGTTTCCTTTCCTATATTTATAGGAGACATGACTTGCTTAGCAAGAGAACTCTTAGCATACCAACCAAAGTACTGGGAAACAGAAGTGAAAATATCGATTTCAAATGTTAGGTTTCTTGTGAAATTGTACAGACCAATTGCAGGCACTTACGATTGATGCATGAATTCGTTTGGGCTGAGTAGACGTTTCTCTCTCCAGCTTTGCCAATTACCCTCTGGGCTTAGGGACAAACAGAATCTCAATGCTTGTGGTGGACGAGTCTCCAGCCCAGGGGGAGACCCTGATCACGTACAAACTCACCATCCAACGAGAAGACCGTCCAAGTCTGCCCTTGTTTGAGGACTTCACGGCATGTGGTTTTGTACAGGTAAGTGGATTTTACGTTCGCACTTGGATTGACTTGGAAGTGATGTTAACCCAGGTGAAAAAAGCCATATGAAAATTGTTTTAGGCAGGACTGGGAGGAAGTATGTCCTTCAATCCAAACTGTGGTCTCATTTCAAAAAGGCAAGAGTCTCAGCCAGGTATCTAAGATACCCTGTTATGAGCGGTTTTTTTTTTAAATGGGGTGGCTTCTCCCTGCACCGACGAAAATCAGTGGATCTATTGTGGTTAATATAAAAAAATGTCTGAGCACTCACACTTAGCTATGAAATTGGTTTTATATTTCCCTTTTAAATTGTGCTGTGTTTCTTGGATTTGTCCCTGGATCTACTTTGAAATTTTAAACTACTTTCGGCAGAATTTATTTTAAAGAAGGAGAAGAAAATTTATGGAACTGTTTTACAGATGGGATACCCAATGAATGAGATTCAATTTGCTTGGGTAGATATATTTTGAATTCACTTCTCATGCCTTGATCGTTCTGAAAAGCTGTAGTTTCTCTTGTGTGTGACACATCCTGTGTTTTAGTCTATTGATTTTGAAGGAGGGTAAACATTGCCCAGAGACTTTGTCTTGTTTGATGATTCTCTCCTCAGTTTCTCCCCCACACCCACCCACCCTTTTTAGGATTCTAAGTATAAACTTCTATATTTCCATACATCATATACCCTCCCTATGGGTGATTCTAGGGAAGTAGTAATTGGCACTATTATCATATGTACTGATCCACTCAGCAAGTATAATTAAATGCATCATGTTCCAGGGACTTTTTATGCCACTTGGAGCATTGAAGGCACAGAGGGTCAGTAAGAGAATAATGACCCGCAAGGACTCAGTGAGTGGTATGTATATACCATGTTTTCTTAAATGTAGTGGCCAAGTACAGTATCCTCCCCCTCTCTACTCATCACCATCACAGTCTCATCTGTCCCTCAGAGTTTAATAGTGTTTCATAAGGGTGCCCATCACTGAGATGTATATTTTTTAAGGAAACATATACTTTTAATTTATGAACTACCACTGACTCAAAGGGGTTTTCATGTTAGCCTAAAGATTGCTCTAAAGCAGGCAGGACGAAACCATTATTCTGAAAGATAGTAACAGGTGAACTTATAAGGTGGAAAAGATCAGGGTCCATGCCACATACATTTATGAAGCAATGGTTAAGCAAAAGCAAGGAGGTTTCTTTATGGTGGGACTTCTCTGCACCTTTCCTACATTGATTGAAATGGCAGTTCTTCCAAAGGAGAAGCTACGGTGTGTAGCATTTCCAAACCTGTTGGACATTCCCTCTGTGCAATAGCTACTAAGTATGCTTCTGTGCAAACACTGGGCTAGACTATGGAGACCACTGGGAAACATGTTTCTCTCAGTGATCACGTTCTGGTTTGCTTTACTTGGGAAAGTAATCCTTTCAAGCCCAAGAGAGTAAACTATTGCAAGCAGGTGCTGTTGTCCTTCAGAAAGCCAACAGGAAGAACTGCCTGAGGAAGTCAAGTGGGGAGAAGGCCCCTCTACACAAACCCAGAATCCTTAGGTGGGATGAGTGAGGGCGAGAGGGGACAACGGAGATTGGGAGCCAGAGCACTAGGTAATTCCTTGGTCTGGTGGTGGCATCTGCTATTTTTTCTGACTTTTGCAACTCTCCATGACCTAGGGCAGTGTTTCCCAAACTTTTGACATATGTGTACCCCTTCTATAATTTTCGTAACGCTGAGTACCCCTGGTACTCATGAGAACGTAGAATTAGGCGCAGCTAAGCATGGTGCAGTGCATATCCCCACCAAACTCCGGTGCAACGCGTACCCCCACCAAACCCTTCCCGTACCCCTGGGGGTACATGTACCACACTTTGGGAAACACTGATCTAGGGGAAAAGGAATCAAGAAAAATTGTCAGAAGCTGATATAGAAAGGCACAAGATATCTTAATATTAGTTGTCTTTGTAATCACTCAAAGCTGTAAACAATTCAATAATAAAAGGGATAAATAAATTCAACAAAATATTATTGCGATATTTGTGTGTATTCTCAAAATGGAGGAATCTCCAAAACACTATGTTGAGAAAAAGAAGCCAGACATAAGACATACTGTATTACATTTATATGAAGTTTAAGAATAGATAAAACTAACTTAAGGTGATAGAAATCAAAATAGCAGTTACCTAGAAAGTATGGGTACCTCTAAGCATGAATGAATTGTTTTGGCAAATATCTTAACCTGAGCGAGGTAGTTACATAGCTCCCCAAAACCACTTGGTATGTAGGTATGTAAAAATTAATTAATTAACTGTGCTCTTAAGATTTATGTAATTTACTGTATATAAAATGCATAAAATGTATTTGGCTATTATAAATGATTTATTTGAATATAAATTATACCTTAAAAACATAAGATAAAAACATTAGTGGGTAAGTAGCTATTACTTTCCAAGATATGTCTCCATTCTTATATATTATATTGATTAGGAGCAGTTAATTACCATGCAATTATGTTAGACAATAGATTATATTAGGCATTTGTTACTATGATCTGAAGGAAAATATTAGATATCTTTTGGGAGATGTGTCCTCCATGTGATTGAAGGAAAGTATTTCAGTCATTTATAAGAATAATTTCCAGGTCTTAATTAAAAGTTTTTGTGTGGTTCCTCAGCAGTACTGTATTCTATAACATGGAAAGATGTCTAATGAGCATTAGTATTTTTTTTAGCCTTCCTTTCATTAAACTGTCAAATGACTGAACAGGTAGCGAATAAATAATGTAGATTATTTTAGCCCCTTCCTCAGGAACTGAGAGAAGTCAATCTCAGAGGTTTTCTCACCAGACACTCCCGTTAAAATCCTAATCCAGAGACCTTTTCCTTATTTCTCCTTTAGGTTTACTTTCATTAGGTTTCACTGCAAGTTGAATCCATGTTGAAGTTTAGCATACAAAGAGTGAGGGTTAAACGTTCCTACCTCCTATCACTTCTTAGGTATTTCAGAATTTCCAGTGAAGTTAATAGCTAACTAGAAATGCCTTATGAGACTTAAAAAACTTTTGGTCTTCAGAATAGTCGTTTTTATTTTCTGTCAACATCCAATGTCTCCCTTCATTGTATTCCTAAGGCTGAAGTCCAGAGTCAACAATGGCAAAAAAAAATGAGAGGCTGTTCTAGTGGAATCTCCAAAGCCTTATGTGGAGCCTAAACGGAAATGGATTAAACTGTAATTATATCTTATCTGTTGGTTAAGGGGGAAAATTACAACTCCTCCTTGAATTTCAAATTAGATTTTGGTCTAATGGGCTCAATTATTAAATTTTAAACAAATGTAAGAAGCAATCTGCCTTCAAATAACCAAAAAGGAGAATCTATTATAATTTGTGGTTAATCAGTTTCTTAATTTGTCCTTCCCTCATTCTCTCAACTTCTTTCTGAATGCCAATTACTCACTTGATCCTCTCACCAAAGACAGACAGTAAAGATAAAGCAAATATAAGGCTTAGCAGTCAATTAAAAAAATCAATTACTTATGACTTTTTGGTGAATAATGAGCTAATTGAATTAATTTGTTAATAGACATTTGTATCCTTTATGTGCTCAAACATTGTTAAGTGCCTACTTAGCCATAAATAACTATTCTAGTTTAGTGCCTGTTTCTAATCATGTTGTCAATTGGAAAGTATATGGTTATCACAGAAGCAACTCTTAGTTATGTTAGTGCCAGAGAGGGAGAAAGAGTAGTTTACTTGTCTACATAAAACAACCAGATTTGGAACAAGGTTTCTCAACCTTGGCACTATTTTTTTTTCTTTCTCATTTTTTTAAATTAAAGTATTATATGAGTACATACCTTACCAATCCTCCCCCTACTCCCATAAATGCCCCCCCCCAAGTTTTGCGTCCATTGGTTATGCTTATATGCATGCATACAAGTCCTTCGATTGATCTCTTATCTCCCCCATATTTCCCTCCCCTCCCCACTGTAATTTGACAGTCTGTTTGTTTCTTTACTGTCTCTGTATCTATCTTTTTGTTCATCAGTTTATAATGTTCCTTATTATCCATAAATGAGTGCGGTCATGTGGTGTTCCTCTTTCATTGACTGGCTTATTTCACGCAGCATAATGTTCTCCAATTCCATCCAGGTCGCTGCAAATGATAAGAATTCCTTCTTTTTATGGCAGCATAGTATTCCATTGTGTAGATGTACCAAAGTTTTTTGATCCAATCATCTGCTGATGGGCACCTAGGCTGTTTCCAGATCCTAGCTATTGTAGATTGTGCTGCTATGAACATAGGGGTGCATATATCCTTTTTTGATTGGTGTTTCTAGTTTCTTAGGATATATTTCTAGGAGTGGGATTACTGGGTCAAATGGGAGTTCCATTTTCAGTTTTTTGAGGAAACTCCATACTGTTCTCCATAGTGGCTGCACCAGCCTGCATTCCCAGCAGCAGTGCACAAAGGTTCCTTTTTCTTCGCATCCCCGCCAGCACTTGTCGTTTGCTGATTTTCTCAACCTTGGTACTATTGATGGTGGGCTGGATAATTCTTTGTTCTGGGGAACTATGCTGAGCATTGTCGAATGTTTATTTAACAGCATCCCTGGCCTCTACCCTCTAGATCCCAGTAGTCTGCCCCTCTCCAAGCAGTGACAACCCATAATGTCCTCTCAGAGGTGAAATCAATCCCAGTTGAGAATCACTGATAGAGACAAATGAAAGATCCTGTTTTTCTACTTCTATTAATAATCCTCTAGTGGTATGAGTTATTTAGAGGTAATCCTTCAATGTTAAATGTGAAGAGTCAGCCCTCCTATCTTTTTTTCATCAGTGATACTACTCTGATGTTCTTTATTCTACTTATTAATGGGCCTTCTTTTCTGGCTAATGTAATTATGTTAAAAAAAGCCACATCAGATACATATACTGTTATTTCATTTTGATTTACCCAAGTAGCATAATGTTTTGCTAAGGAAAAAAGATTTAGAAAGTAAT